TTGTTGTCATAAGATTTTTTTATTTTGCGTTTTTCCTTAATTGATGATGGTTTGTAGCTTGTGAGTCAAAAAATATATTGGGGCGTTTAAGCGTTTTAAAAATCGTCTTTTGATAATTTGTTTTTGTTTTGTTTTGATTGTATTTTTTTGTGTTTGTTTTTTTAACCTAATGTATCTTATTTTTTGTCAGTGTTGTGCGATTACAAGGTCGTATTTCTCGTTTTTAATTAAACAATTATGTAGTACGATTGTTTTTTTTACTGCCTAGATCATCTCCTGACATAAAGTTTATGACATGCAATTGGGGGTTAGAGTTATTAATTTCCTAAACTGTTAGTTGTTACAGTTTTTGTGCCGTTATATTAACTTGGGCATAGGTTGTCGTGGTTGACAGGTTGGAGAGAGAACATATCAGTTCGTGAGAATGATTTTTTACTTTCTCGGGAACTCGTGAATAAGTTTTAATCTTTGAGTTGTCTACTTAATCTTACCTAGGGGTTGTGATTTGGGATCGAGAGTTGGAGAATAGTAAATCAATCCACAAGGTTTAGGTATAATTAGAACACAAGTAGATCGTTAGATACTAATTTTTGACCTAATAATTTGTTAAGGATTTTAACCTGGGTCATCTAAGAGGATGGGCTCAAGTGAAGGATGAGTAACCGAAGTTCTTCACTGTTTAACCTAATTAAAATTTCTATTAATCCTGGGTCGCCTATAAGGGTTGTGTAGTCAATCGATGTTTGAGGTCGTTAGACACTTTTAAGATTATGGGAAGGGGAAAAAATTAGTCTGATTTGATCCAAGGAAAGCCTTGATGATCAGTAAAAAAATACAATTTAAATTTACATTTTTTAAAATGAAAGTTCCAAGGGAAGCCTTGATGATCCATTATGAAAGAAAAGTGAAATGTGGTAAGCAAGGATAAGCCTTGATAAAATTTAATTTAAAAATTTAAAGTTAAGGTTTTGACGGAATTAGTCTTTTGAATTTTTGCTGTTATGTTTTAGGTGAGTAAGCTGGGATAAAGAAAATCAGATAACTTATAAAGATAACAATGATTTTTAATACTGACTATTTTTTTGTATTTTGTATTGAATAAATTTTTTTATTCAAAAGTTTTCATTTACTCTAGATGTTTCTGGAAACGACTTGTGCTCTTTTTATCAGTCGTAATTGTATAGATAGTAGGTTTAGCACCAGTAAGGTTGTTCAAGAATTTTTTCTTCAAATCATTTTCATGCCAGTAAATGACAAACTTACCGCATAAAGTACTCTAAATACAAAAACTTGTTTCGGTTTCCGTCGTACTTTTATGTAGTAGAGTGGTCCGTTTCCTGATGGTTGTTCACGCCTTGATCTCGGTCTTCTTGCAATACCTGGTATTTCTTGTATTGTTCGGAAATTTGGCGTAGATTTATTGAGACGTAGAGACATTTCTATTAAATTATCTATTCCGTCTAACTTTTTTGCAATTTCGCATTTGTCTAATTCTAAGTTCTATTGTCTAAATCTAAGTTAATTAAGGTCATGTTCGAGACTTTTGGTCGCACCAGATGAGTTATGAGCTTTTGGTTATTCTCATAGATTACTTTCAGATAAGGTGTTCCGTCTGCTCGTCACGCTATCTTATTGTCGGCCGGATAGATTCGTACAACTTCTTAGTCTAATATCGATCTTAATCTTACTCTTATATCTCCTAGTCTCAATAGATCTGGTGTATACTGGTTTATGCGAGTTAGTTCTTGGAGTTTATCCAGAAGTAGAGCAACTGTATTCAAAGTTTTATTCAAATTGTTCTGGTGCTGAAACCACAAGTAGTTTCAGCACTTACAAATAAGTGTCAAAGTTAGAGATGGAACATGATTGGTTAGTTATAATTATTTTTTTGTGATAATCTATCAATAATATAATTGGTTTATAAATACTAGTTTAGAACTGGTTCCAGGGGGTTGCTTAGATGTTTGGTTTCAGAACGCTGTATGAATGGATATAGTGTTGCAATGATAAAGTTGGCGATATGCTACGGGGTATGAAGGTAAAAGAAAAAAGTTAATGCAAAAGCGTAAAACAAAACTAAAAATAATTTTAAAACAGATTTAAACGACAACTTGGATCAGTTGTTGTCTTTTTCAAGTGAGAATGTGAAGGTCATTCAATAATGGAGAGAATCCGACCGTACTTGTCAAAACAAAAAGCTCTTATATGACCTTAGATTCAGAAAAAAACAACAAAAAAAATGTACATGAGATCTATAGCGTTATCTCTTCAAAATGCTGCAGGCTTTGTAGAAAATGGGTACTAATTTCAAAGCGTTCGAAGATTGTTTGAAGTTTGACTGGACGACAGTGTTCAGCAGAAAGTAAACCAAGTAAATAAACTTCAATTTGATCACTCAATTAAAACTTCCTTCCCGAGACTTTGTTCTCCTGCAAATGCGGTCATCACTTGGCAAAATTCAGGTTGAAGTTTCGAAATTGTTTATTTTGTGTTTTAGTGTTTTCATGAGAATTTAATGCCTATAGGAAACAGTTTTTTTTGATGAGTTATGCGGGTTTCTACCTTTTCTTGTCCAAACCGTCTTGTCGGTATAACAAAAATTGGATATCAGTGTTGAAATTGACATTACTCTAAGTTGAGATTTATTTTGAAGCGATCAATATAGTTTATTGACTTATGCATCTTTATCTTTTGCCTGAAAAATATACGAGTCTGTTATTAGCCAAATCATTCAGTGTTTAACGACATGTCTTTTTTTTTCTGACGACGTATTTGGCAGCAAAATATATTTTTTTGAGAGATGAGCTCGCATTAAAAGAAAACGTATTTTTCAAAAAGGCTTTAAATGCCAATTTGCGAAAATTTGTTTCTTTTAAAGAGCTCGGAAATCAATCAACTGTAATTTTCTGCGAATCTGTTCAGGTAATGCAGTTAAATTAACCACAGGAAAATGTTTGCAGCTTTTTCCCATTTAACTGTCATTAGTGAAGCCCTACATGTCTATGTGAAGCATTAGTGATGTTAGGTTTTTTCTAGTTTGCAGTCAGAGGGTGAGACGGGAAAGTGAAGAGAGCATTTGCCTTGCGCCTTTCTGTTGGCCGTCAGGTCTGATTTGGTCCGCTGCTCCTGTGCTCATAAAACCCTATGCAACATCATCCGGGTTACTTCCTGTACATTAGCACAAATCGCATTTGTCCTCCTCCCTTTCCTCCCACTCTCTTTTTATGGACTCATGTCCGCCTGTGCCCTACTCCTCTCTATAGCCCTCAACTTGTGACGTCATTTATCCCACTCTAACCCCTTTACAATACTCGACGCCCTGGGGTCGCTATTTCGAGACAAAGGTGAAATTTAAACACACACAACGAATATATGAAACAAAAACAGGTAGAGAATAGAGGATAAAAATATTTGAAAAAGCTGCAAAAACAATTGCTTTTTAAAAACAAACTTGCCCCGAGCACAACCCAGAATTAAGAATTGTTTTGAATGGAGCTATGAGACGTCTAACATTGAAATAAATGGAAGCATCGAAATAAATAGAATGAGATTGAAATATAGATGGAGAAGACACCTTCCGCCTGCTCTATCACTTCTCTTCCTTCCCTGCCCTCCAAATCATTCCCCATTATGTCTCTGAATAAGTGCGAAAATTGATCCCATTTATTTCATACGTTTTCAATTCAACTATAAACTCACTTCACATTGCACCGACTTTAACTCCTATCCTATTTTTTCGTCCTATCATGCCTACCGCTGTTTGCTTCACGCGTCTAGCGTATATTTCACGCGGGAAGCAGCAGCGAGGCAGGACAATTACTTCCTTCACCGGTATCTCACCTCCGCCACCACCGCCGCCGCCGCCGCCGCCACCATCGACATTTTTTCTTTTTCCCAATCAGTTTGTGAAGAGAAAGCAAGCGACTGCTATACGAAAACATACCAACACACTTAGCATTGTATAGAGTGCAGTACACCAAGTGAAGTATAGTACAACAGTCTGTGTTTCTGCAGTACATTATTTGAAATGAGTGGCATTTAAACGTGCAACTATCGTGGAAAAAACAGTCATGATGGTGGGATCTATATACTTCATTCAGTGGTATACATTCTGGTAGTCAGTCACTAAAAAGGAATTAAGTTACTCTAGCTATTCAAACCACCGGATCGACTTAAAAAGCAATAACAAGATAAATCTCATACAGTTATTTTGGTACTCTTTCTCTGTATTTTAGTAGCTCCGCTTCATCAAGCAAACCAACCCACGAAAAAAAAGTAAAAATAGATAACAAAATGTAACACCATAATTTTTATGGCAGAATTGTCTATTTATTGTGGACTTTTATATACCCGCTTACTTTTATTTAAAATTTCATCGTATTTCTGAGCTTATTTACCGCTTTTATTTATTTCGATCACGCTTTCGTTTGATGTTTAAGTCAGGTAAAGTTAAATCTACTTCTGAATGTGCCTATTCTGTTTCAAAAAGAGAATTCTCGCCAATTTCAGAATTGTTCGAGCGCACAAGTATACGAATCAGTTGCCATTGGAAAACGCAGGGAAAATCAATCGATCATTTGCTCCTCTTTCTGATTAAGTCGATCATAATTATTAATTCATCAGGTTGTATCATCTGCTTGCTTAACACAGAGACAGATAGCTATAGATTCATCCATACTTTCTTTTTTAATCTCTTAAAGTTAATTTACAAATATTTATTTATTACAGAATTATATGGACGAGGGTTTAGGCTTAAAACTCAATTAGCGCCAGTTTATGATCAATAACAAACTGCGACGATGATAAACATCAGAAAAATCGATAAGCGCGAATGTACGCATTGTGGTAAGGTAAGCTGATATGATTTTCTTTTCACCATTGGAAATTCATTATATTGAACTAAAGACGAACGAGATTTATTTGAAATACAAAACGAGCGCTCAAAATTTTTGAAAAATTAATTATTCATTGTGTAACGAAGTATTATTAAGCGTTCATCTGTAAAAGGTCACTATTAGCCAATTTTTTTTTCAAACTGAATTACTTTTATTGGAAGAAGTGTCAATCAAAAAAGAAAGCTGAAGCTCCAAAAGTATCCTGGTGATGTACAGTTTTCTTTAAATCTCGTAAAATCATTTTTTTTTCATAAAAACTATTTATTGACTTTTTTTTCAATTTTTTTGGCTGAATTTATATTTCATTCCTTTATTTATGTTTTGCTCTGGTAGCTGGCACAACCCAGGAAAATGTAAAAAGGCCGGCCGTTTGAACAAACTTTTGAAAAACCAAAAAGCATTTGAATCATCCAAAAAACTAATTACTAGGGCAAACATCCAACCTTTTTAAAGACGAAGGGGAAAAATTCTGCTTCTATTGTGCGCCTAAAGAGATGTTTTATGTTTCTGGCGAGCTTAAACGGAGTTTCAGCTAGATTCGGTTCTGCTAACTGAATTTTGACATGCGTTGGAAATTCTAATGTCATTTTCTTACGTACTTATGATAAAAAAATCGGATGTGTGACATAGCGGATGTTTGACAAGTCGGGTGTTTGCCCTAGAGCTCACAAATTAATCCGATAAGTTATAGTCAACCTTTGTATCGCATTGTAGCGACTGTTAGAAGTGATTTCAAACAGATTTTTGAGGAAAATGTTCTGAATATTTTTTTTTCAAAACAATTTACAACAGAGTAGAAAAGAATCACCCATCTGTGATCCGAAGCATCTTGAATTTGTTAATGCTGATGAAACATTCTAGATCAGTGGGTCAAAATTTTGAGCCCATTTTGAATATATTGAGCTTATTTTATATTCCACATTTTAGAGTCACAGTGAAATTGAAAATCAACGTTTTTTTAACATTGGACTGAAATAACTGAGCGCAGAATATAAAAAAGTAAAAAAGACTAAGAGCTTTATAAAATATAGTGAGATTGGGTAGAAACTGAAAATGAGCAGAGAGAATCAATCAATTAACTATCAAAAACCACTGCAAAGTCAACAGAGAATAGTTTTGGTTTTTCATTTTTTGATGAAACTGGTTTTATTTCTCACATCCTTCAAATGATGTTCATCCGATATATGGATTGACGACTAATTTTGACTTTGATTCATTTTGTATTTTCAAATTCACAAACTGTATAAATTTTACTCGACTCTGCGCTGCTGATTCAATTGAGTCGAAATTTTCATGGTTCGACTACTGAAACCGGTGAAAAACTTTGCATTCGGATGTAGTTTATCCATGTTAGCTCAGGTAGATTGAATGGAATGAAAACTCTTGAAGTTTTTCATTGATTTGAAAAAATTCTTCAAGGTTGTTTCCAAGAATCAAGAAAAAGCTTACATTGAAAAATTTGCATCAAAGAAGTTTTGAGTGAAGAGTCACGTTTCATATTGATTCATTTTTGAGCCTAAATTGCCTACTTTTACTATTCTGCATATTAAAACTTAATTGTTTCTTACTAACTAGTTTCTCCTCCCCAATCCTTTTAAAAGAACTACAAAAGAAAAAAGAAATCGAACAAAAATGTTTTTTTTTTTTCAAAAAAGTTAACTTGGCTCCGATGTTTTCGAGCTGCTAATTATGTAAAACTTTTAAAGGTAGAAGTTCATGTTTGACAGTTTGAAAAATTTTGTTCAGATAATCCTGTAATTGAAACTGAGTTGGGGTAAAAATTTCCATGTGAGGTAATTTCAGAGTTTGATGTGATTTGCAAAATGGCTGCAAAGACAACCTTTTTCTAAAAACCACGGATTTGTTATTTTTAGGCGCATTTTAAATTTTTTGTACATATCAGTCAAAACTGCTCTCCGAGCTCTTCTAATGTCTTACAAAACCAAAAAAGTTTTAGTGCTTAAGTAAGAAGAACTTTGAGAATGTAGGCACAAAAATTATATCTTGCGTTTTTAAAATTTTTCCTTAGCGGCCTTTTTCAAAATTAGAGTACCGATGTAGAATTTTTTAACAAATGATTGCAAATTTTTCAAAAGAGATTCAGAATTTCATGAGAAATTGAAATTTAGTAAGCTTTTTATTAATTGATGTTAATTGTTGTTCCAAAAATCTCGGTGTTTTTTGTTTTGCTTACAATTCAATAACGTTCTCGGTTTTATAAAGATGGTTTAGGAGATTTTGCTGGACGTTTTGTTGTTCCGACTATTTGAAAAATGGCAAAGATTTTTGTATTCGGGTGTGTTTTAGTTTTTTTTCTACGCAAAACCAGGTACCACAAACAATCATCGGAATGGGTTGGGTGATATAATTAGTAGCAAAAAGTAGTACAGACTAAGTTAAATATAAAGAGCAATTGACCTATTGTTGGAAAATTTTGCAGGCAAAAACTAATTTATCAGAACGAGTTTGTGGCTCAGGGGTTGTCTGAAAAAACAATTCAGTTTGCAAAAATCTGTCAAAAAGGGACGATAGCGCATTTTATTTATTTCTGTCAGTCCGAACTTATGGCAGTTTGCTAAATAGTATATTATATTCCTGTCAGTCGTGTTTTGAAAAAAATTGATAAATTTCAAAAATTGTCGGAGTATCGAGAACAACAGGTTTTAAACTTTTTGATTTCCAGCCTAAATTAGAGGGAATAGGGCGAGCAGGCTTACAATAGCTTATTTATGCGTAATTCAAACCGTTAAAACTTAGTTTTTTTGAGTAAATTTAGTTTTTGGAGTTTTTTGCGCGCCACTTTGGGAAGTAAATAGAGCTCAAAAAGTTTCTGCCACAAAATTTATGAAAATTTTGAATTTTTTGTCTGGTTGTTATTTCACTTATTAAGATTGGCTGTTTTTTTTATGATTATGATTGAAACATCCTGTGCTACTTGCACAATAACTGACTATCTTTGTTTCTACATATGCATTTTCAAAAAAATGCAACAGCTTTTTCAATTTGTTTGACAGGTTGTAAGCCTTGCGCCGAAAGTTGGTTCAGATCTAAAATCCTATTTTGAGAAACTTTATTTAATTGATTACAAGTAAATTAAGAAAAGTTGGTTGTCCTCCAAGTATATCAGATGTGCAGAATGCTCCTAACATAGTTTTCAAAAAGTTATCAAACAAACAGCGAAACTCCCGAATAATTTCGGAATTCAGAAAAAATTGAAATGAATTTTTGTTTTTTTCTTCAAAACTAGATGGTTGATTCACAGGTTGTAGTAACCCATTAAAACATATCAATTAAAAATCGAAAGGATTTAGGCAAAAACTGCTGCAGGTTTTCTGGAAACTAAGATAGGTTTTTTGGAATCTGAATCTTATATTGAATCTCAACAAACCTGTCTTTTATATGATATCACACTTGACAACCTGCGAGTTTTCCTTCAGGTATCCAAGATCTCTCGTAAAGGACCAACTCTACGACATAGTTCCTTCCAATCACTCTGTGTCGTGGTTGGAACAATGCATTGCTTAAACTGATTCAAATATACCAGCGCGTGTTAAAACCGCATGACCAGACAATTGGTGGAACGTGAACAGAAACCACACAATCCCAATCAAAACCGTTTACCCAGCACGAACCGTGTTCTTGTGTAACAAAAGTGTTTCAAGCAAAAGTTTTTTTTTCAGTTTGAAACACTATTTCCTTTTTTATTTGGTTTGAAAAAAGTCTGTACTCTTCCCAATTCCAACATCGAATTTGAAGAGTTTCTGTAGCAGACACATTCGACAATTGACCTTTCGGAGCTGTGCATATCATGCATCGGGGACGGATAAAGGCGGACTACCCAAAGGGCCCCCATTCGGTATTATATTACGACATCCGTTTTTGCCCACTACAGTGAAGTAGCTACGTTGAATACATTCTTTTAGTTTTATCAATAAACTTGAAATCTGGCAAATTTGATCGATATAAAGTTCTCTTAATTTAATTTGATCTTCGAAGAAAAATTTGACCAATTTATTTAATATTATGTATACTTGGAGCTAAAAAAAAAAAAAAAGATTTATCCTTTTTCTTTAAACACAGAGGCTTGAAAAGCATTGTAACCATCTTCACTGTAAAACTTTAAAATGCTCTGAGTTTATGTTGTGCAAATCAAATTTATAGATCTTGTCCAACTATTTCTTCTGAAGAAACTGAGACTATTCACTATTTTCTTCTGACAAATTGGAGTGCTTTTCATTTAGTGAAAATAACCCTAAAATACAAAAGACCAAACAAGACAGCATAGTAAGTTGGGATTATAACTCGGTCTCATAAGGCAATGAAAACAAAGCATGGTCTTAAGAAATAAAAGAGCGTATTACACCAAGTAGCGAAAGATTAGGGTTTAAAAAAATGACGTCACAAGGTTTCGCTCTACAACAAAGAAAAGAAGTATTATCTTTCAAAAGGCTAAGCAACCATTGAGTAGATAAAGTTAAAAGCGGGACAAAAAAGTAAACAGCTGCATGTGCTTGGCACGCCCAAAATTTGAAGACAATTACGCCCAGAAAAATTTTAATTAAAATTTGTATTTTTGAACCAAACGAACTCCACCCTAGCACTGAAATATTTTTTTGATTAGAGCGCCAGGCGCCTTATGAATTGAAACTTCAAAATTTTCGAATCTTTATGCAAGAAACATATGCGAACCAAAAGAAATTGATTGTGAAACAAAACTTGAGACGCTATCTATTCCAAAACCCTTGATATCTTATACTATTCCATGTTCTTTATATCTAAAAGAAATGTTTTTTTTTTAGTAAATTGAGTTTTGATGTTTTTCTTTCAATTGGAGGAAATGAATCTGATTTTTTCTGAAATTGGTTAAATTTTTGCTGCTTAATGAGGAGCGTACGTAAAGTGTTCAAGGTCTTCAACGTTTAACGAATTTGCTCGAGTTTAATCCTGGTCCGTGCTAGCTGCTTTGGGGAGAATTACATTTCTCCGCCGATAAAATAACCAAAAAACATTCAAGAAAGTCAAACAATTAGGGACAAAAACATTGATTCTTATATAAAACGTTAGAAAGCTCAGATGTTTTTTTTTTATTTTCGAAGAAAGTGAGGAATTTATTTGCTCGGGGTCGTTTTTATCTTCAGACCACTTTTACACAACTCTGGTTCCTCAGAGGATTGATCTCTTCTTCACATAGGGCCAGCCCAATGT